TTGAAAGTGCAACTGTGTGCCTCAAATCATAGAGTGCTAGCCTTGAGCAAAATGAAGCAAAACAAACAACAACAACTCAGGGATGGCACCCAGGACCCGAGTTCAAGCCCCAGAATGGCACATACACAGAAAAAAACTCTAACTCCTTATTCAACAAGATTTTATTTTTTGATGTCTCTTTACCTCCATCTGGCAGGATTGTAAAGCAGTCCTGCATTAGTTATGATCTGTTTGCCTGCTTGCCTTTCATAGGTAGGGAGGTAGGTATTAAAGGAAGACAAACTTGTTGCACTCTGTAGTTGGGCCCAGACTACATCCTTCTGAGGAGGTTTGTGTTATTTTGTTTGCTTCGGCTCCTAAACACGGTGTTTGAGCTTTGACCTTCACCTTTCAACAAGCTGCTGCTTGTAGAGATTGTAAGAGACTGGGACCATCTTCAAACTCAGAGAATCGGCCTATTTCCACCCCATGTGAATGAGCAGAATCCTGCCAGCCATCCCTGGGAGGTTTTTCTCTATCTGAGATTTACAGTTTTCAAAAGCTGGACACCTAAATTGTTTGTTGGGACACAAAAGGGAAAGGACAGCAAGCCCCCTTCTCTGCCCTGGCCCTCACCAGAGAAACGGTAGTGGCATCTTCAATCACCCCTAAAAGCAAGCCTTTGAAGGTACATATCAGTCAAAGAGAGCAACTGTCTTGAATCACAAATAACGTTTATCTGAATGGCCTGTCAGGTCCAACAAACCCACTTGGCTATTCTGGGAACAGAATATGCTGGTAGGGTTTCAAACCATCCTTCTCATTGTGACCAAGTTTCAGCCAGGAGTGTAGTGCACAATCTCATCGTTATTTCTCAATTGCCCAACTATTACTGTAGCCAAGCAAGGATTTCTTCTAGGGACATGATTTCTATGCAACAACTGCAGTGACACGCCCAACTGGCCAAAGGAAATACTCTAAATGCAGTACTACTAACTTGGATAGTGATCCCACTTTGTACACTGATAGGCACCTGTTCAAATAGTTCTTTCTTTCAAAATAGAGACAAAGGTATTCATGTGAATACAAAGGTATTCATATTGTTTGTTTGCTTATTTGTGCAGGCACTGAGGCTTAAGTGCTTAGCATTTTTGCTCAAGTCTGGTGCTCTACTACGTGAGCCACAACTTCATGAGCATTTTGTTTGCTAATTAGAGATAAGAGTCTATGGAGTTCTCTGCCTGGCTGTCTTCAAACCTTGATCCTCACGTCTTATTCTCCTACATAGCTAGGATTGTAGGAGTGAACCACTGGCACTAGACTAGGATATTTTAATATATAATACGTAGTCCTCCTTCACTAAGCCCAATGGGTCAACATGCAAAAATAACTGCTAACTACTAAATGTACAAAACATAAATCCAGGGGTTGAAGATCAGATTCTGGAGCCAGAATGCCTGGGTTCAAATCCTGACGTCCCCATTCATTAACTGAGTGGCCTTGGTCAAGTAACTTAGCTTCTCTTTGTATCACTTTTCTCAACTACAAAATGAACAATTCAATCATCACCTCCCTAATGCCTAGCACACACTACAAAATCAGAAATTATTATTATTATTATTATTATTAGATAGTTTTCACTTCTCAGTATCACACATAAGAGACACAAAGAAAACAGGAATAGTTTAAAAAACAGTTATAAAAAATACCTAACTTCCAACTATGATCTGGAAGGTATTCTCTCTCTACCAAAAAAGTATAACTACTTCTATTTTGGTCTTAAATTCTCTGAATTGTTCTACAGAATGGCACCTTCAGTTATAAAATCACATTTTATATTGTACTAATTATGAGTTGAAATCCGATAAGATTTCCTAACCTCTAGATACATAAGAGGCAAAAACAGAATACAAATTTCATCGGAAGAATACATCTCTCTCCTGTCTCAAATAAACTAAATTTTGGCAACCTACAATCTCCCTGGCTTCCAGGTTTCTTACATGTGAAGTGAAGGGTTCTTCCCATCTCTGATAACAACCCGGTGATCTATTCCTTTAAGCTGGAACTTAGATGATCTAAAAGACTAGCAAACATATTTTCAGTGTTTGAGCTTTCTATAATTTTGTTCTCTCCTCCCTACAGACACAGTCACTTAGTAGCCAATTACTTTACAGTATGATAATAGGTACATAGTAAAATGGTTATTCATCTCCTTCTGGATGTTGTGTTTTTGTCAGAGCCCTCCACATCCGATCTAGGAGGTAACGTGTCATGTTGTTTCTCCAGTTTCTTCCTAATTTAGAGGAATTACAAGAGTTCTTTGTAATTTGTCTGCATAAATTGCTAAAGGCTATCAGATAGCACCAATTAGTTTGTGACTATTCATTCTAAGATCTTAAATTTCTTTCTTGGAGGTTTCCAAGAGGAATATTGGGTAATGAAGAATCCTTAAACACAAGAAATTGGTGAAATGAGTTGCTGAAAGGAACTATTAAAGTCTTATCACTATTATTAACAAATTGATCATTAGCATCTTAAACTAGACAATGGCAAAGATTACTGGTCGTATTTATGTGCTGAGTATGTTATTTCTGATTTGGGCACTAATGTACAAGAACACATTAATGCCAACAGCACAAGTGATATCAATCTGCTATAAAGACATAACATACACACCTTGTGAAGAAAATAAAAATGTTGCTGTTTTCATAACAACCTAATAAAATCCAACCAAAACTTTATGCAATGACTTGTGTAAAAGTCCTTTGAAATAAGGTACTATTCAAATATAATAAGTTATTAAGGTAACTGGAAGAGTTTAATGCTTGGGGGGAGGAGAGTTGGGGGAGAAGGAAAGTGAGAAAAAACAAGGGAGGGGGTAGCAACATTTAACAAGAAATGCACTCATGACCTCACTCACGTAACTGTAACCCCTTGTACATCACTCTTACAATAAAATAATTTTTTAAAAAAGAGTTTAAAGGCTTTATGCTGAGTTTGCATTTTCTGAAGTATTTTATTCAAGTAGACTCTACTTTGGCTGTCATCTTAATTTCTTAAGAGTAGGTGATTGAAAAGCACTGTACTTTTTTTTTAAGTCTCTAGCCTTTTGACAGAATAGTTTAGCACTGCATTCTTTCATATAGCCAATTTCTGTAACTTATTTGAAATACAATCTAATTTTTACATTTTGAATTGTAGGTTGGCTATGACGGGGTATACTTGTAATCCTAGCACATGGGAGGCTGAGGCAGAAGGACCAGGAGAATGAGTACAGTCTAGGTGGCTACAAGTTGAGAACCCGTCTCAATTTTAACTCATAAGTACTGTCATAACAGATGACTGCTTTGTGACACAGGAAATATCTGGCCCAACCTTTCTCCTCTCCTAAGAAAACTGGTTTTCTTATAAGTACCTCATGCTAAATGATTGCACAACAGGAGCTCCAGAAAACTTGTTTTCAATAGGGGGAAAAAAGGCAGAAACAGTATTGGTTACATTATTGGGCTTAAAAGTCCACTCAGTCAAGCCATAGAGATCCGAAGCCAGCCCCTGCAGGACAGGCCATGAGACTCTTATCTCCAATAAGGTACTCAGAAAAAACTACAAGTAACTCAAGTGGTAGAGCACTGACCTTGAGCACAACGAGGCTCAGAGATAATGCCTGGGCCCTGAGTTCAAGCCCCAGGACTGGCCAAAAAAAAAAGTTTACTTTGCCAGTTTTAAGGACTTGAATCCTTTCTGCATTTCTGTACTGAATCCAAAAGAAAATAATGAGCAGAGTTGGGCATTCTGCCCATTATATAACTTGTCAATGACCACATACAACAGAAACAGCACTAATTAGAAAATAATCTTTTAAACAAAATGTGTTAACACAATTACATCATTCAACGATCAGCCATGACAGAGAGAAGAGATTTTTATAGTCCTGGGTTTCATTTGTTCAGTTCATCAAATACGAATCTAGGGTTTCAATTACAAAAGTAAAGAACAATCTAGCCTGAGATTGCTGCTGGGTTGTGTCATGTATTCCCACTGTGAGATTATTATGTAAATAATAAATAAGTCAAATTTGCATGAAGATTAAAATATAGACTAGCTCATGCATGCTTCCTATTTTTCCAGATAAATACCTTAAAAATAATGTTGTTATTTTCCTTTTTGAGATAAAATCTCCCTACGTAGCCCAAGCTGGGTTGGAACTCATAATCCTCCTGTCTCATTCTCCCAAGTGCTGGGATTACAGGTATGTCACATCCACAACACCTGGCTTAGAGCCAACAAAATGAATGAATTCCAAGAAAAAGAAACAAGACAGTGGTTGTAGTTGCTGTTGTGGCCATTTTTGTTTCATTTTCCTTTTGTCTTGTTTGTTTGTTTCTATTTGGAAAGGTAAGGCAGGGGCAAAGGGCCAACAAATACAACAAATACAACAGTGGTACTCACACTATGTGGAAAATGAACTGGATATTTTGTGGATGGGGATGGGAGGGAAAAACTTGGAGAAAGGGAGGGAAGGTGAGACATGGTTCAAAAAGAAGTGTACGCATTACCTGACTTGTGTAACTGTAACCTCTCTCTATATCACCTCTGCAGCAACAATAAAAAATAATAGTAATAAAGAAAATGACTGCCGGACACCAGTGGCTCACACCTGTAATCCTAGCTACTCAGCAGGCTGAGATCTGAGGATCATGGTTCAAAGCCAATCCAGGCAAGAAAGTCCATGAGACTCTTATTTCCAATAAAACACCAGAAAACCAGAAGTGGCACTGTGGTTCAAGTGGTAGAGTGCTAGCCTTGCGCTGAAGACTTGAGGGATAGTTCCCAGACCCAGAGTTCAAGCCCCATAGCTGACAAAAAAAATTGGAAAACCACAAAATCTCTTTATGTAAGGAATTCCAATAGGAAATAATCTTAAATATCAATAAATTTTATAATAAAACACTAAAGTAGCACCAAAATAAATTTTAAGCAGAATAAAAAAGTTAAGGAAAAAATGAATATAATCTACTTACAAGTCGGTTTTGCTGTTGGAGGAAATTTGGTCCGAGTAATAGCCAAAATGATGAAAATAATGACTGGCCATAAAATCAAGACAAGAGTCCATAACTGCAAAATAATGATTTTAAAATGTTAGTTATATTACTGAACCAAAATGTAATAAACCAGAAAACAACCCCCAACAAGTACAAGAAGTATGTCATATTTTAATATTCCAACACAAGCTGAGTATTTGACTTCCTATAAATACTATTAACTTAAAAATAAAAGAAACTATTTTTGAAAATACAGACTTCCCAAGCATGATATTTCACCAGCTTAATGTCTTGACTTGTTCTTTTGAAGTTCCTTTTCTGGTCATCTGTCATAATGTTCTAACTCCCTTACCAAAAATCTTGTAGAGTTTTCCAGTTGCCTGTTGCAAATGAAATCCTGCCTAATTTCAACTTAAATGTGAACTATAAACTACTGTATGTTCATTCTCTGTTCAGCCTCAAAGACCAGTCTGTGACCTTGGATAAGGACTCAATCCATCTTGAATCCCTGCTCATGACTGAATATAAAACTGCATTATTGGATTGAACACAAAACAGAATGGAAGAATGAACAAAATGAATAATCAAATTAATGATAAATGAGCAAGTACACAGGAACTTAGATCTCTTGGCTACCCACCCCCCACCCCTGCCCCTGTCCCCTACCACTATAATGTACTGTGTCTGCTTCTATCACAGAACTGAACCTCCTGCTTTAGTCAACTTTTTTTTCTCTTTTTCACCTAATTCCCCAAATTAAGTGGCAGCTCTTTTTTATGGTAAAAACAATATCTTACTCACCTCTGAATTTTCACTACCTGGTGCAAAATAAGGTCTCAAAGAAATATATCAAGTTGAAATTTCTTTGCAAAATTTCATCTCCCTATGTAGACAAGATTCACTTTGAAAGTCACTAACTGCTGAATATTTTATACACCTATAAAATTGGCTGCAGAACAGTGAACAACACATATTCACAAGCACATTAACTATGATGTGCACATAGTTATAAAGCTCGAGCAACACCACAGAGAATAAACCTTGCCTATATTTAATAAAGTTAAAAGTGGAACTGTTTCTGTCGGCTTATGTGGTCATAGTTGCTGTGATTCATTCTCCCACTGTTCAGAAACTATTCACTTCTACCAAATCTCAAGATTTCTACCTGGACCTCTTTAATATACTCCAAAGCAGTCTAAACCCAAACAATTGTTGATCCTTTAGTAATTCTGCATCAAAATTTCCTACCAAAACTTTTGTAATATATCTGAGAGCATTGTCCTACCTAGGCAGTGGTAGGCTTGAGCCTTGTGTCAGAATATGGTTATAAATACAAGATTTTTGTTTGTTAAGTAGAATAAGTTCACAGTGCATCTAAGAAACTCTGAGATACTTGGTTTGAAGACTGGAATATGTCTAGATAGAGTTGCCAACGGAAAGTAGCACTTCTCTTATAACCATGCAGCCTAGATTTCATAGATTTGAAATGGGACCTGAGCTTCTTTATGTCAAGGAAATTCCAAAATGGGTGATGCTGCTGGTTCAGGAGTTAGAGATGACAGAGTGAAGCAAGATATAATCTACTTTCCCTACCCAGCAGGACTGTTTATTAAACCTCAGAATAGTTTTGTTGGAAAATGTCAGAGCTCAGAGCATAGTAAGCATGGATTAGAGAAAAATGCTGCAATCTTATTTTCTCTAGCTTATAATCAAAATACCCCTCAATGACAGACATAAGCAATGAACCAAAACGTTATTATGTTTGTTATGAATTCCTGGTGTTTCTTTGATGCTGGCACTGGAACTATCCCTTAGCTTTTTTTTTTGTTCAAAGCTAGTGCTCCACCACTTAAGCCACAGATCCACTTGCAGCTTTTTGGTAGTTAATTGGAGATAAGAGTTTACAAGCTTTCCTGTCTGGGCTGGCTTTGAATTATGATCCTCAGACCTCAGCCTCCTGAGTAGCTAGGATTACAAGCATGAGCCACCAGCATCCAGCAGAAATCATTGATATTTTTTAATCACATTAAAAATTTTGCAGGAAAGTTTTCTTCAAACTCATCACTTATAAAGCATGACAGCTCTGAATAGGCCTTTTATTTAATACTAGGATAAAAGAACATGTTTTACCATACCACAAAATTGCTTTGTAATACTTGAATAATGAATTGTTCTTATTTATAGTCCTATTTATTCCATTTAATTTTGTGGATTTAAAAACATCATTTTTTTTTGGTGTTTGTCCTGGAACTTGAACTCAGGGTCTGGGGGCTGGCGCTGATGGCTAAGATGCTACCACTTGAGCCATAGCTCCTACTTGAAGATAAGAACCTATTAGATTTTACCTTTTAAATGCAATCCTCAGATTCCAGACTATTTTTTAAAATTTTATTATAAAGGTGCTATATAGAGGGGTTACAGCTACCTACGTCAGGTAATGAATGCATTTCTTCTTGGGTAATGTCACACCTTCCCTTGCTCTTTCAGTTTTTCCCTCCCATCCCTACCCACAAGTAGATCTAGGACTCTTGAGTAGCTAGGATTACAGCTATGAACTACTGGCACCTGGCTAACATTATCCTTTTTTTACAAGATGACAAAAATCCTGTAATTTCATTATATATTCATATTTCCTCTCTAAACATGAGAATAAATTCTATGTAGAAACTAAAGTTTCTACTTAGAAGTTAAATCCTGTGTTAGTTGTGGGCCATTTGCAGAAGACTTCCTCAGGCCTGCTGGCTAGTATTATTCTTAAAAGAATACACTGGAGCCTACTTAGAAAGTTACCCATTGCATCAAAGATGACAGGGGCTCTTGATCTGATCCAATTCTTTTGTTTTACTGTATATTCTGTATTCAGAAGGCTAGCACAGCTATTGGGAAACAGCAGGGGAAAGGATTTGAATCTAATGATACGTAAGCCAGGATTTTTGTTGTTATTGTTGTTGTTGTTTTATATATAATATTCATGCTTCTCTAAGGAGAGAGGAAGAAAGCATTACAGAAAGTGTTGGGAAAATGTAAGTGATATAGAATGTTGGGCTTTTTATTCTAGCCTTGTGTCTCATATAGTTGAAAATTATCTGTTCTTCAAAGATTTTAAACACAAGCTACCAATCATTATGTTATATGACTCACTGGAAATGTGGACTGTTGAAAATTATTTGTAGATATATTAGTTTGGTATTTGAAGTCATGGTTATTCTTTAAAGAAAGTGCTTCTGTAAGTCTTAGTATCCCCAAGGTACTTTTAGGAGCATCTATTTTCCATGACAACTACATGAGAGAATTCAGCAAATGAGATAAACTATAAAAATAGATACATTCAATTAAAGAGTACATACTAGGAATTATTATCTTCTGATTGATCTACTTTGATTATTTTGTTTACAAGAGTGTTTTGGCAATTTTTACAATTAATTTCAAGCATGTTTGAGGTCCAGACAAAAATAAAGTCTAAAAAGGGGAAATGGAAGGTAATTTAGACTATGCTAAAGACAAAAAAACCTCACAAACCTATAAGCAAATCTATTATCACAGGCTTTTACTTGGGCTTCATTTTTGAAGGATACTAAATGCAAACTTCTCCCAACTGTCATTCTCTCATGAATGTTAAGAATGACAAATTAATGATAAAATGAAAAATAAAATTTAAATTTCTGCAGTAGCAAGACTGCTTTCAACTCCCTTCTAAATATTAACATAAGAAACTGAGAAACAAATGTAATATCAAGGACCCAAATAATGAAGCAAGAATCCATGCCTTCTTGTTGGTGGTGGTAGTTTTGTGTGTGTGTATGTGTGTGTGTGTGTGTGTGTGTGTGTGTGTGTGTGTGTGTGTTGGTTGTGGGGCTTGAACTCTGTGCCTGGGCTTTGTCCCTGCTCTCTTCATCTCAAGGCTAGTGCTCTACCACTTGAGCCACAGTGCCACTTCTAGTTTTCTGGTAGTTAATTGGAGATAAGAGTCTCATGGACTTTCCTGCCCAAGCTGGCTTTGAACTGCAATCCTCAGATCTTAGCCTCCTGAGTAGCTAGGATTACAGGCATGAGCCACTGGCACCCACCTGGGGAAAGAGTTTTTAAGATTCAGTGTCTTTATCTATTTATTTCACTCTAACTCTAAATCTCACAGCTGGCAACAGGACAAATTACTGGTGGAAGGATCCTGTTATGGTGACTGTTTGCAATGGGCTTTTGATGCCTTGGAATAAAGCATGTGTTCCATGTCCTCACTATTACCTGCCATCTAAGTTTCTGTACACTCACCTCAATTGTCTTTTCCTATAGATATTTGAGCTGGGGGCCCCTTGAACTGGAATGATTTGAAGTTGGTTTTGTCGTAAATAAGCCTACTGAGTATCTGTGCAATTTCTAAATGTTCTTGGAAATATTTTGGCCCATCTGAAAGTAACACTAGAATGTCTAGGATAAAAGGTCTACATTTCCTGAAGGGAAATGTAGTGGTTAAGCCACTATCTTGGAGAGTGTTAAGGAAACATAATTCAGTATGCAATATAGGAATCATTTATATAAAATTTGTACATTCATTAATACAACAAAAAAGTTATTGAACTCCTACCTACCAGGCAGTGTGTGGTTAAAGATTTCAGTCTTTGGAGGGAGAGAAATATTTACAAAATTACAACTGAGTATAATGAATAATGCTGTGATTGCCTAAGGGCAAGAGTGAGAGAGATAGATAAATCAGGAAAACAGGATAGAACATGAAAGATGAGAAAGGACCAGGAAGAAGAAAAGTATGTGTGTTTGATGGAGTGTGAGGAAAAAGTAGTGTCTGTCCAGTAAAACAAAAACAAAAACACTTGGGTGAAGATCCATTTAAAAAAGAGCAAAATATTCTAGAAGTAGAAAAATGAAGCAGCAAGTATTAGGAAAAACAGTTCTTTCGTGCGGTTAATCCAACTTTGACTTGAACATTTCTAGTGACCAAAAAAACTACACAATCTCATTAGACTTTATTTTACAATAACTCAAATTTTCTAAGGTAAAATTGTCCTTTTGGGGACTACTACTCATTTGTTTTAGTTTGTCCAGGGCTACTCGAGAATT